TGCTTTGGTATCACACCTTCAAGGCCACATTACTTTGAATTTTAGCCAGAAATCTTGGAAGAATGGTAGAATTTTCTGGCCTTTGGGAAAGTTGGCAGTTTTCCTGACCTGTATCAGCTTTAGCCTGGTAAACCAAGGCTGTTTCTCATCAACTTCAAATGAAAGCTTGGCTCCACTGTGGGGCCTATGGAGGAGAGACCTGATCTCTAAGCCAGAGCTACTCTCACCAGCAGGAAGCTCTAATGCATGTTTCAAATTTCCTTGAGTGAAAGCAGGAAGGCTCAGAAGCAGTCTGAAATCAAGAGCCAGGGTTGTCTTTCATCCTTGTGTGTGAAGCCAATTTTCTTAGAAACGTGATTTACTTCCCACTCTCCTTGGGGGGTTTCTAGGTATGGAAGTAGGATTTCATTTATGATCTTTCCTTTTTTCCACTTACAGCAAATCATCTGGAACCTGACCATACAACAGAATGATCTGGAACACCCTTTAAAGAAGCGCAGATTCCAGGGCTCCTTACTGGGGTCACTAAATCCAAATTTCCTAGAATGAGCCTTGGTAATTCTTACTTTTTAAAACTTTCCCAAGTGATTCTAATGCCCAGGGTTTAATATGCTGGTTACATTTTTCCATCCTTCCTTCCTTCTTTGTGGGCTGCCTTCAAAAGCTAAGCACCACATAAAATAATTCTGGCAGAAAAACAACATTGGTCCTTCCAAACCACTACCAATTTATAAATAACATTTTGGAAGAAAACATGTCTGCAAACCTGGAACTTCTTGTACAGATATTGGCACTGTAAAGAATCATAGAATCAGAATTACAAGGTGATAATGTTCTTTCTTCTAGGAGGTACCTAGGGAAATAGACATATGTCTAATTTGCATGCTTTATTTGAAGTATTTGTCATATTCAAAATGGCCTACACATAAAGAATTAAGACATGGCCTAATCCTACATACACTTGAAATTCTAAGTTATGGTACCATTATCTTTTCATCTTCTAAACTAAATGACCCAATTTCCCTTCATCTTTCTTGGTAGAAATGTTCCTTGTACTTTGGTTACTATTCTCTATTCCTCCTTCAGTGTCTTCAAGCTCTTCTTAGTTCAACAAGGATGAAACTGCATTCAGGATACAACTGTACTAATATACTTCACAGTTTGCAAACAGTTCATGTATCTCCTTAGGAGAATCTAATTGATTGCTGGGGTGACTTAGACTAGTCTGCCCAAATCTAAACATCTACAGATTAATATTTTGCTTTGAGTAAAATTCCTTTGTTTAATGGTTCTGCATCTGATCTTATAGTTTTCAAGATTCCTATTATATAAAGATCAGATTGTAAATTTGATCTTGAAGTCACTCATATTCTCTCTTACTCTCTTCTTCCTTTCTCTCTGCATTCTTACATTGTTTTAGTTAGTCCTCTTTATTTTAATTTTGATTTTTTGAGATGTAGTCTCACTCTGTTGCCCAGGCTGGAGTGCAATGGCATGATCTCAGCTCACGGCAACCTCCGCCTTTCAGGTTCAAGCAAATCTCGCACCTCAACCTCCTGAGTAGCTGGAATTACCGGTGTCTGTCACCAAGCTGGTCTAATTTTTGTATTTTTAGTAGAGATGCGGTTTTGCCATGTTGACCAGGCTGGTCTTGAACTCCTGACCTCAGGTGATCCACCTTCCTTTGCCTCCCAAAGTGCTGGGATTACAGATGTGAGCCACCACGCCCGGCCAGTCCTGTTTCTTTTAAAATGGCTTTTCTGTAGTTTCCCTAATGCCAGTCCACTTTCCTGAACACTTGCAATTTTCAATTCGACAGTCATGCTCCTGGAAGACTGAATTATTCTTCCCCATTCTTCACCCTTCTCTGATGTGTGTTCCTTCCACTAAAAGTTGGTTGGTCTCCTCCCTTGGTGCTGGGCTTGGTCACTGACTTGGTTTGGCAGATGGCTTATGGGCAGTTCTGCGAGCCTAGGCCTTGTTTCTGCTCAGCCCTCTTGTACCTCTCCCATTGCCAGGAAGAGACAGTGTCATGGTTAGCCTGTTAGCACAGGGTAAACAAGAGTGGACTTAGGCAATACTCAGTTTAAAATCACTTAGGTGAGCTCAGCCCTATCATCAGAGCCATGCCTGCCAATCCACAGGGACTTTGTAACACTGTAGCGTGCTCATGTTTGCAATGAGCCTTTAGAACTATTCAGATGTCATTCTGTGAACGAGAACTAAACTGTGTTCGACTACAGTGAAATGTCTTAGGTGACTGAGTGTCCTTTATGGGAAGAGAGATAACAGCTCTTCTTCCCACGGGACTGAAGATTAAAGACATTAATAAACATTGTGGTAGAGAAGATGCCAGTGAGATGAGGGGAAGCAGAAACTGAATTCCAGGGTAGGAAGAAACTGCCCCCTCAGGAGGCCCTGCAGAGGAAACGATGCTCACCATAGTTCTGCTCCTATAGAAAGAAGCTCCAGGGAGCATAGCTCACCACAGCACATGTCTAGTGCCCATTTGGCCCAAAGTCATGACTAGGACAGAAGAAATGGCCCCTGATTCCAGGCCTCACCACACACCCCTTGAGGCTATTGTGATTTCCTTCCTCTGGCTTGGGATTCTAGCTCTAAATGGGCAAGACTGCCTGCATACATTGAGTGAGCCCTTTATTCCATTGACTTAAAGGATAAACAGAACTTTATAGCTCTAAAAGGGTGAGACTGCCTACAAACATTGATTGAGCTCTTTATTCCGTTGACTTAAAGGATAAAAAGAACTTTCAAAATTTTTTTCTGAGTATGATCATGGCCAGCTGAACAATAAATCATCCCCTGACTCTCAACACCTCATTCCAGTGGTCAATTTAGCCCAAAACTGAGTCTCAGTTTAAGACTCTAGCCTCCACGTGCAATGGCTCATTCTGCAAGTGTGAGTTATCACCTATTAGACCATAATAACAATATATTTGCAGTCAAGCCAAGGTTAAACTGTCAATTTGATTGGAAAACTATGTTTCCCAATGCTATTTAAGAAGAACAGAAAAGGATGAACAAGGTGGTTCACGCCTGTAACCCCAACACTTTGGGAGGCCAAGAGGGAAGGATCACTTGAAGCCAGGAGTTCAAGACCAGCCTAAGCAACATAGTGAGACCCTGTCTGTACCAAAAATTAAAAAAAAAATTGCCAGACACAGTGGTATGAGCTTATATTCTCAGATATCTGAGAAGTTGAGGCAGGAGGATAGCTTAAGCCCAGGAGTTTGAGGCTGCAGTGAGCTGTGATTGTACCACTGCAGTCCAGCATGGACAGCAGAGTGAGACCTCATCTCTTAAAAAAAAAAAAAAAGAAACAGAAAGAAAAATAGATAAGGTAATGTAACTAATTTTATCCTATTTTCCAAATCCTTTCTGCCTTCTGCCTATAATAACACCTACTCTAGCTATATATATGCATAGGGTATACATGTATATGATATAAATGGTTGGTAACAGTTTAGCCTTTATTCTTTGTATTCTAAGAAAAAGCATGTGCATACACGGGGATGTGTGAGTATACATATGTATATGTATACACAAGCCCTCCAAACTTTTTCTCGGCCAATTTCCTTCACAAGCAATGTTTAGCCAAGCTGTTGTGAAAGCGCTTTAAGACACATGAGGGCCTAAGCAAAGTTGGGACACAGTCTGAAATGTGCCTTTGGGATTTACTCGGCTTGCTTTTCCCTTTAGCGACACTGTTTCAGGTGCCCTCAGAGTCTTCATTTGCTGTTAGGTATGAATGGCTGGTAGCACTTTAGCTATTACCCTTTGGATTTTAAAAGAGTTCATAAGCTCAGGAGACAGAGATAAAGCTCCAGACAGTGAGATTTCAGGCAGAATTTGGTGGGATGAATTGGAGGGATAGATTTGGTTCTAAGGCATCTACGCTTACCACCTTCCATCCCTATCTCATACCTCTCTGGCTAGGCATCCTGGGACCTGGGGTGGCTAGAGCTCCCAAAAAGAAACCTACATTATTGCTCCTGTGCGAGCCTGGCCACCCATTGGCCACAGACAGGTTGCTTATCTCCCAGATTGAAACGATCAGATCCTGGTTGAGAACCGTAAAGAAACCACGCTCTGAGCAGTGAAAGTAGACAATACAAAGTGTACCTTTAGAGCACAGGCACATAACCTACCGAGGTGCTCTCACTCAGCAATTCTGCACTCTTCATTTCAATCCCAAGACTGTTGACTACAGTTTTCCCATTTCAAATTGACCATATATAGCAAATTTGAAAACAGACCCACTACAGCAGCAATAACAGCTAACAGCCTGACCTGAAGGAGGAAAAAGATGAGAGCTAATATGAGAACTCAAAAGGGAGCACTTACTGAAGGGGTGAGCTGCTCACAACACCTCACGGGCCCATGAAGCCATCACGGTGCTGTATTACAGCCCAATGCAATAAGTAGTACTCTTTGCAGCCACAAAATAGGATGAGATCATGTCCTTTGCAGGGACATGGATAGAGGTAGAGGCCATTATCCTTAGCAAACTAGCACTGGAACAGAAAACCAAAGATTGCATGTTCTCACTTATAAGGGGAAACTAATGATGGGAACACAGGGACACATAGAAGGGAACGACACGCACTGGGGCCTGTCGGAGGTGAAGGGAGGGAGGAGGGAGAGAATCAGGAAAAATAGCTAAGTGGTCCTAGGCTTAATACCTGGGTGGTGAAATAATCTGTCCAACAAATCCCCCTGACACAAGTTTATCTATATAATAAACCTGTATTGGTACCCCCAAACTTAAAATAAAAGTTAAAAATAAAAACAAAAATAATTAGTACTCTGTGTCATAACTCTAGGTCATCTGGAAAATTTTAAACATCAATGTGCTTTGTTTAGGAAGAAAATCCTCAAGTACTGAAGGTAACAGTATTGAGAAAGGCCACCTAGAGGAGAGCAGTGGTTACTGCACCATAAAACTACAGCAGGGGTTCCCTGGGCTGGAATCCACCTACCTCTGAATGTTGTCTTCAAGTTGCTTGACTCTGAACTCATCCTCTTCAGACTGCCGCCTCCTGGCTTCCTCCTCTTCGGTAGTTCCAGCGGGTATACCCTGCAGCAGCCATTTCTCCCGAAGCACTTTGGACTGCGGGAGTGAGGGAAGACAACAGACAAGATGATACTTTTTAGTCCACACCTTCCTCTCCCTCTGCAGTGGTGCTGTTTTAGCTCCACCCCTCACCAGTGTTGCCTGAATCACTGCCTTCACCGCCTCACTAACTTGGCTCCCTAGTTCCCTCTGGACCAACATCCAAAGAACAGCTGGAGGGATTTATTTCTATATCGTTTTCTATGATTAAAAAAAAATTAAAAACAGAGTAAACTGTACAATGAATGACCATGTAACCTCATCTAGATTTCACAGTTATGAACATTTTGCCATATTTTCCCATATATTTTTCATCAAATGATTTTAAAGTAAATAACATATTTTACCCAACAATATGACAGTATGAGCCTCTAAAAATTTTTTAAGAACATTTTTCTATGCAACTACAATTTCATTAAGAAACTTCCTAAGACCACCTAACATCCACACTATATTAAAGTGTTGTTTTAAAAAGATTGTCATGCCTCTTCTTAAAAACTCTTTAATGACTCCCAATCATCTTCAATAATAATCTCCAAATGTTATAAAAATCATATGCCTCTAGGTGGGGATGGTGGCTGATGCCCATAATCCCAACACTTTGGGAGGCTGAGGCAGGAGGATTGCTTGAATCCAGGAGTTGGAGACTAGCTTGGGCAACACAGTGAGACCTCGTCTCTACAAAAATTAAACAATTAGCTAGGTGTGGTGGTGCACGCCGTAGTCCCAGCTACTTGGGAAGGCTGAGGTGGGAGGATCACTTGAGCCAGGTAGGTCAAGGCTGCAGCGAGCTGTGATCACACCACTGCACTCCAGCCTGGGTGATAGAATGAGACTCTGCCTCAAAAAAAAAAAAAAAAAAATCATACATCCCACATTTGCAAGTATACTACTACCAAGCACAGTGGAATAAAATGCTTTTGTTTCAGGTCAGTGGTTTGGAGGCAGCAATTACTGCTTTGAGATGGGAAATAAAAACAGTTCAAGAAAAAAGCATGTTGAAATTCCCTGAAAGGAAGAGCAAGGAGAGTTAGGTGTGAGAGGATAATTTTGATTCAGCTTCCACTTCCATGTTCCCTAGAGGGCTGATGGCAGCAGCTGCTGACCCTCTACATCATGGCTGAGGACCAGTGAGTGTGCCAATGGAGAGGTCAGTGGTCACCGGAGGGAACCACAGTGAGGATGCAGGGCACATGACCAATTCTTCCCAGCAACAGTAAGTAACCAAAAAAAGAGCAGGAGCAATGGCTATAAAGCCAGCTAACACAGAATAAAGACCTGGGTCTTTGGCTTCCTGGTGTAACCTCTGTCCAGAATTGCATTTGATCTCAACAGGCAGGGTGAGCAAGGTGAAAGGAAAGAACTCTTCTAATGACCGAGAGCCAGGGAATGCAGGCTTGGAGCATACTCCCTGAAGCTCTTGTGAGCAAATGATGCACAGTTCTGTAGACTCTCATTTGTATGTGGCATTAAGGGCATTTTATTATAAACCGATAAGACCAGTCTTTAAAAATTACCAACACTTAGTATTGTTTAAACAACATCAGTCTGCATTAGACTTCACTCATGGTTCTGATTTACCATTCTATAGAGAAGTCCGAGGGTCATTTGGTACTGTAGATACCCTGCTCCATGGCCAGGAGCAAGTTTAATCAGCCTGGAATTCCTGCACTTCCAGGATAGGCCCTGTGTTGACAACACATCATCAGTGTGGGTTTAGGTGACCGTGGTTTTTATTGGTGTTACTTGCCTTTTCATTATAAATCATTTCATTAAAAATCACTGTTTGTGGAGATCTGTTTGATTACTCTTACAGCATATAAATATATTTATGGTACTTGACCTGTAATTTTTTAGGCTTAAAGACTTGAGTTTGTTCACATAGAATTATTCCTTACTATACTCTTACAGTGATTATAGACAAGAACCACCCCCACACCCCAATATGTATAAAAAATTATGCATTATTGGTATATGCTGCCTGTTAAATGTGCTCTGTGGCCGGGCGCAGTGGCTCAAGCCTGTAATCCCAGCACTTTGGGAGGCCGAGGCGGGCAGATCACAAGGTCAAGAGATCGAGACCATCCTGGTCAACATGGTGAAACCCCGTCTCTACTAAAAATACAAAAAATTAGCTGGGCGTGGTGGCGTGTGCCTGTAATCCCAGCTACTCAGGAGGCTGAGGCAGGAGAATTGCCTGAACCCAGGAGGCGGAGGTTGCGGTGAGCCGAGATCGCGCCATTGCACTCCAGCCTGGGTAATAAGAGCGAAACTCTGTCTCAAAAAAAAAAAAAAAAAGCGCTCTGTATAAATAGTGTGCATCTACCACCAGGATAGGCATTAAAATACAGTTTTTACATTATAGGGCATTGTTTGATAATATAAAATAATGTGTAAAGCGTGCAGTACAATTGGTTTACATTGGTTGCTTGTCAAAGCTTTATCAGAGATTCTTTTCCAATGGAAAGTGGGAAGGGGTGGGACAAATCGGTTGCTGTTTCTAAAAAAAAATTCAGAACCATTTTTCTCCACATAAACTTCTTAAAATTTCCCAGACAGACCCTATTAGCACCTTATGAAAGACCATTTTTTAATCAATTAATGTTTTTATATTTTTATTCAGCTATTTAATCCACTATAGGCACAAAATAAATTGTTCATTGGTAGCAATTTTGAAGTAGAAGAATGATTATTGCTTTGCTTTTCTTGAATGATAACCTGGCTCTAAAATTTACTCTCAGGAAGAGCGTAGAGATCACAAGAGGCCATGCTAAACAGTGGCTTATAGCCTGAGCTCTGGAACCAGTCTGATATTTACTAGCCAAGTGAGCTTGACAGGCTCCTTCACCTCACTGACTCTCACTTTTCTCATCTATAAAATGGAGACAACAGCAGTGCCCATCTCAGAGGGTTGTTATGAGGATTAAAGGGGTTTACAGGCTAAAAGGGCCACACTGAAAACAAACTACAGAAATGTTTACACTGTTGTTCATCCTGTCCCTTGGCCTCTGCTTTATTTACCTAAGAAAGAACAAGTAAAATACCACCAGAGAAGCCTTCCACCTCTACAGGCTCTGAAACACACTCTATGGCCCTTTCTTACTATCCTTAAATTATCTCTCTTTACATCCGTCCCCCCTGTAGCCTGCCAGTTCCTTGAAGGCTGGGACTGTCCTTTATCCACCTTCGAATTCACTGTAGCACCTAGAATTTCCCAGTTCATCCATTTCCTTATTCATTCTATGGACTTGGGCTACAATTCCATTTTATAAATGAATGAGTAAATAGACGAATTGGGAAATTCTCAACTTTCCTTCACTCTAATTATTTGGGAGGGGTAGGGACCACACTTTCAGGGTGCTTCCTGTGCTAAAGATGTCCAAACCATAGATGGTGAAAACCTCAGGATTCTGAGGGACAGCCATCCTGGAAACCTTGGCTTTGGTGTGGACCCTCTGGAAAGGCAGCTGTGGATAGTACTGGCCGTCTCCACCCCAGCAGGGATGCTTGGCAGCCACATCTTCTTGCAACATACGTGGCTGCTCTTGGAATGTTCTCTCTGCTGTTATTCAAACAGTGCCTCCTGCCACCATGTGAAGAGTCTAGCCCCTCACTTCTCACCAATTTAGCTGCCGCCATCAGCTGGTAGCTCTGGCCCGAGCTGCCGAATGACCCTGGTCACTCAGAGGTGCATGTCCCTCTTCTCTCTACTCCTGTCCCTTTTCTTGATACAGGCGTGACATCATCAAGAACATCCCCAACAGGAGGAGCCAGGAAGAGAGGCTCTAACAAAAAAAGGGAATAGTAGGGTTGGGTGTGGTGGCTCATGCTTGTAATCCCAGCACTTTCGGAGTCAAGGCGGGTGGATGACCTGAGGTCAGGAATTTGAGACCAGACCGGTCAACATGGTGAAACACAGTTTTCACTAAAAATACAAAAATTAGCTGGGCATGGTGGTGAGCACCTGTAATCCCAGCTACTCAGGAGGCTGAGGTAGGAGAATTGCTTAAACCCAGGAAGGAGATGTTGGATGTTGCAGTGAGCCGAGATCATGCCACTGCACTCCAACCTGGGTGACAGTAGAAGACTCTGTCTCAAAAAAAAAAAAGAAAAAATACTGGGAAAGGAAGTAGCCCTGGTCTCAGAGAAGCCTGTTTCACAAAGGTGTTCAGACATTTTTAAGAAGCCAATAAGGCATAGTTGATTTTATACTTGGCTCCGAAGTCATGCTGTCAGGGGAAATCACCAATTCCAAAGGCTTCCTTAATTGACTCCAGATCCCCCTCATGTTGTCTCCAACAGGTCTACAAATGGAATGGCCTATACTGAGTGCATCATCCAAAGCACGGGGTTCCACCATCCAAAGCATGGGTACTATGCTGGCTTGTATTGGCTGCCTGAGTGTTTCAGAATTTAGTGGAAGCAGCGCTCGATAGAAATAAAAAATAAAAATTAAAAAAAACTTTTTTCTTTGTGGCCTTTATTGTCCAAATAACATACATCCACAAAAAAGTATTATAATTAACATAGTATCACAGCTTTAGTAGAGATGGGGTTTTGCTATGTTGGTTAGGCTGGTCTTGAACTCCTGACCTCAGGTGATCTGCCCGCCTTGGCCTCCCAAGGTTCTAAGGACTGTCAAACTTCACATTTGTTAAATGAATGCCACCATGGTGAGTGAGTACAAGGAAGGAGCAGATGGGGAGCTGGCAGCTAGATAAAGATAACCTTGACAGGAGCTTCTGAAAGGAGGACAGAGGGAACACCCAAAGTAAATCTGTTTCTTGCTCTATTCGCCGGGCTAGCTTTGGAAAACAAAAAACAAGAACTGAGTTTCCCAAACTTCAGTATGCATAAGGATCACCGGGAGAACTTCCTAAGATACAGATTCCAAAACCCACCCATGGAGACACATATTCTTTAAATCTGGCATAAGGCCTGGGAATTTGAATTTTGATGAGCTCCTAGGTGATGCTACCATTGACAACGTCAGACTG